CCTGGTGCGGAGCGGGGAAACGGGACATCTGGTGCGCCCCCCCCCCCGGCCCCTCGCAAAATAAGAAAAAAAGCAGGTTCGAGGAAACCTTGGTTTCATTTGCTGCCGTTTGCCGGGTTGGCGGTGGAGCCCCTAATTAGCTCCATCTCTGCAGGAGACCCCTGGGACCTCATTAGGCATTTCAATTAGTGAATAGCCAGAGCTGCGGAGGGAGAGGGGGCTGGGGGCCGTTTGATCAAGATGGCTGCAATTAAGCAAGCGGGCGGAGGTGACAGAAGTAACCCCGCTTCCAGCGGGGAGAGCCCGGAGCTGGCTCCCAGATGCTGCCCGCGCACCGGAGCGAGCTCTCCCAGGAGCTTGCTCTCGATGGTGCTTAACGAGCAGTTCCCCAGCAATAAAAACCCCACGAGAGGTGCTGCGTGTTTCGGGCCAGGCTGGTGGCACAGATGCCACCCTTCAGCCGAGGTTTGAAACCTGCTCTTCCCGTACGTCGTGTTTCTGGGCAGGGACAGGCTCATGGGCACGTCCTCCACCCCGTCCCCGTGCCGGGACGTCCCGGCCGTGACGCAGCCCGGCTCCCTGGCCACCCCAAGCACCGTTCCGCAGTAATTGCTCACCCACAGGCGTGAGCCAGGAGCCATCGGGCGCTTCCTGAGCTTCGTTTCACCCCGGGAACGGGCGCTAACGATGGCGAAGGTGTCATTTCCCAAGGGCGCAGCAGCCCGTTCCCAATTCCAGCTGCGTCATTCTCCCAACTGCTCCCAGCCTTCCCGCCTCCGGCTGAGCCGGGAGAGCGTCGGGGACCCTGTCCCTGGCACGACGATATTCCCTGTCCCTGGCACGACGATATTCCCCATCCCTGGCACATCAATGTTCCCGGTCCCTGGCACGACGATATTCCCCGTCCCTGGCACAATGATATTCCCTGTCCCTGGCACATCAATGTTCCCGGTCCCTGGCATGACGATATTCCCTGTCCCTGGCACGACGATATTCCCTGTCCCTGGCACATCGATGTTCTCAGTCCCTGGCACGATGATGTTCCCGGTCCCTGGCACGACGATATTCCCCGTCCCTGGCACAATGGTGTTCCCCATCCCAGCCACTTTGTGCCTCTTGGCAAAGGCAGGATCCGGCTGTCCCACCTCTCCCGGCTCTTCCCACCCTCCCTCCTGCTGCCGACACTCCGTGGGACACCATGACATTCCCTCCCTGACCTTTTTTCCCTTCTTTGGATGCAGTTGGGCTGCACCCTATGAAAAAAAAAGTCTACAAAGCAGGACCAGGGAGCACGCAGTGGCAGATGCCTCATTTCCTCGGGGGACCAAAGGAAAAATCGGGAATCGTTGGCCACAAATTTGGGGTTTCTTTTTGTTGCAAAGTTGAAAAGTGAATTCTTGTAACCGGGAAATCCTGCACGGGAGCTCCCCGGGAGCTCGGCGCGTGGCTCCCCCTGCATCCGGGGCTGCCCCAGCTCGATTCCAGCTCCCAGCTCTGAGGATAAGTTAAGCGCGGTGGGAAACATGGCCTAAAGCTTGTCCAAAAAAGAGAAGAGGGGCGACCACAACCCCTCGCCCCCCGAGCCCAGGCTGGAACACGCTGGATATTCAGGTCCTCCCCCAACAAAGACAAATCCCCAGAATTTTCCTCGTCCTGAAGCACCTCCCAGAGGACAAAGCCAACCCTGCTCCGGGATCGGCTTTCTGCCGACAACCGGTCTCAATGCCATGCTTCCCTCCCATTTCCCATCCCATTTTTCCATATCGTTGCATATCCGTGGAGGACACGGAGACCCCACCGTCGGCCTGGTTCATCCAAGACAGCTTCCGTGTGCTCACGTCAGAGCGGGGCAACGCCCGGCTGCTCGTGCCCCCTTCTCCAGGAGGGGCGAAGCCAAGAGGGCTTTGGTGGCCAGTTGCTTCTCTCCTCATGGGGGGATAATCCGGGCCGATCTCGGTTTAGGAGCACTGCAAAAGCATCAGAACAGATGTTCCTTGTCCGTATGGGAAAATGCCGAGTAAAACAAAGAAATATTCTCCTGC